CCTTTTGCAAGGGGTGGATAGTGACACTTAAAAACAAAACAAAACATGCATAATAAAACAATGCACCCAATTAAATTAAAATCACACCATGTCTGCTATAGTCAAGCTATTGGATGCTAGTCCAGATAGGATCAAATATTTTACCTTCTCTGCAACAAATGTGATCTGGTATGACTCAATTTTGTTTTTACAAAACTGGAAATGAAATCTTCAGGAATACTTCCACGTAGTGGAAACCAGTGAAGGTTTTCTTGATACACTTGGCATTCAAAGTTATCAGGGCAAAAATGTGATAAACCAGTTAAGTCCTGTGCAAACGTCCAGCCAAACTGACTTTGTAGATTCTGATCATTATAAAACTGTTTTGTACGGGGATGCCGTATGCTTTAAATGTATGGTGTGGGTATAAGCCCAGTTATTAAACTGGATCTAAATCCAAACCCTAACCATTTGGGCCATGCTCAACGCTTGGGCCTTTCCTCTACAATCAGTTCAAAGTCATGTCCTACTGCATTTTATACTACAGAGATATAATTCAATAGGACATGTCCACCTGCAAATAGCAAGGATTTTGACAATAAAAAAATGATATGAACAGCAATGTCAGACCAGAAAGAATTGCTGGACATGCATCGTATGCATCAGTGAGGCATTTTCAGCATTACACCTCCAGTATCTAAATTAGGCAAAGCCTTCCTATGCGGATGTTGTGGAGTCCAGTATACCTGAAACATCAAATTCTGCTGAATCATTTTAAGTTTAAATCCAAGGAATTGTTATGTATAAATTCTAAAGCAAATTTCCATTGTTTAGGTTGTACAGCACATTCTAATTCCCTATCCCATTGCTCTCTGACCTCCTGAACTTGTACTTTACAAGATTCCAGTAAACATTTGTAAAAAATAATTATGGGCTCAGCTTTCTGTGAAGATGCAAATTATTACTTCCAGCAATTTAAAAGATGCCAAAGCACTCAAAATATGGACAGTCCTTTAATAGACATCATCAGATGCCGTAATCAACGATATTGTCACTCAGCACTAATTGGTAGATCATATCTAAACTGCAATTCAAGAAAAAGCAAAAATTTCCTATGATTATAATATTTTTAGAAATATAGGAAGCTATCTTATAACGAGTGAGTCTATTGGCCCATGTGTGGGTGGCACTGTGGTCTAAACCATTGAGCCTCTTGGGCTTGCCAATCAAAAGCTCAGCGGTTCAAATCCCCACGATGGGGGTGAGCTCCCTTTGCTCTATCCCAGCTCCTGCCAACCTAGCAGTTTAAAAGCATGCCAGTGCAAGTAGAGAAATAGGTATATAAATTACCGGGAAGATAAAAAGTGCTTCTGTGCGCTCTTTAGTCATGCTTGCCACATGACGTGGAAACCTGTCTGCGGACAAACGCCAGCTCCCTTGGCCTGAAAGCAAGATGTACGCCACAACCCCAAAGTCGCCTTTGACTGGACTTAACCGTCCAGGGGTCCTTTACCTTTACCTTACTGACCCATGTAGTTCAGCCTTGTCTACATTGACTGACAGTGGCTCTCTAGGGCTTTAAACAGACATGTCTTTCCTAGGCCTAACTAACCTGGTCTGTTAGCTGAAACAAGCCACAGGAACTCTAGAGCAACAGAGCCTCCCCCAAATCTACTCTGGAAGGTTGGAAGAAACCCCAGAACAGTGCATGGGAGGAGGAGGAGGGGAGAGATTGTTCCATTAGTGCAAGCATTCATGCTTGCCCAACGGAACAATCTCCTTTGAGCAATGTTGAATTCCACAGCACGTAATTTTATGGACTGCAGCTATGTTTATAATGGATTTTGTGTTGCCTTGAGAGGATTAGCCCTGGAAGGCAGCGTATAAACTCTGAGGATAAATAAAGTAAAGGGCACTGAATCCATTCTGCCAGTTCTTCTTCTGAGCAGCAGATGGGTAGGATTTTAGCTTCCTTTGAAACACGCATAAGCGCTGCTGCTGGAGGGACTCACATATGGACATAGCTGGGCGGGGGTGAATGCGTGTGGGGCAAAACCCCTGGAGGAGAGCCTTTTAATTCCCAACATCACCTCCAACCTGCTCCCTGAAATTTCACTGAGATCAGAGTCAGGGAGCAGATATGAAAAATACATGAATTAAAAGGCTCTAGTTGCAGCCCCCCCCCCATAGGACTATAGTTACTTAGTGTAGACGGGGTGCTGGTTTGCAAGGTGAGCTTTTTGAAGACCCACCTGTTCTTCTTACAGCTCTCCACCGACTCTACTGGAGTGGGTGCATGTCTGATGTGTGAGAGAGAATGGGTGTGGCGGGCAATGCCCACTTTTGTTTGGGCCTTGCTCACCAACAATGTGGCCTTGGTCCAAGAAAGCTTAGCAACCCCTTTTTAGGGCATTAGACTCCTGTTTGCTACCTGTTTGATAAACCTGCCTTTCCAGACCAAATATTGGTCTGTTTGATAAACCTGCCTTTCCAGACCAAATATTGCCTAAATTAGCATTTTGCTTTCAGTAGGCAGTGAGACATAGACAGCCCTTTACCTCCACATTGATTATCAGCTACGGCTACCTTACTCTCCCAGCAACCAGGAGATGGTAACAAAGAAAGTTCAAAATGTTTTGTGATATTAAAGAAATTGAGATCTCAACAGGTGCTATATAAATTTCTATTGAAACACACACATAGACCTAAGTACTGTAAATATTAAGTAGATGTCATCCATTTTGTACATCTGATAAAGCTGATTTGAAAAGATTAATCTGTATTTCCAAGGGACCTGAAATAATGTGTAAATGGATATTTCCCTTCCGATTACTATGTTTTGGAACATTTTAATATTTATGAATAGCCACAGATAAGAGGACACATCACTAAAATAAATAAATCTATTAACATCATTTAAAACTCTTGTACTATAGTTCTTCTGGATAGCAATTAAGGTATAACCAACAGATCCAAATTTCTTGCATTACCTGTTTTATTGACATATTTTGATAAAGGACATAAAAAGGGAATAAGTATAAGTATAATCACACTCCTAGTGAGCTGTGCTACTTTAGAAAAATGATTGAATGTGCTCTGCTAACTAGTTGGTAGTGTTTTTTCTTCGTAACTGACTATTTGAAACCAGTAAAATTACCTTTGGTGCTGCTCTCTGGACACTTAGTCAGCATGCCTAACCAGGATATCATTAATGAAGATTTCTCAAACAAAGAGGAAAAGGAAGGCAGCGGATTTAAATTGTGGAAGTTGCTTGATTCCCTGGTCCTAAACACATTAGTACACTGTATTTCCCTGCTTATACAGGCTTTTGTATAGTGAACATGTGACTGTTCAAATGCCCCAGCAGGGCATCCAGAGTTTGCAAGGAAGAGAAAAAGGGGAAAGGGGGAAAAATTGTTTGGAACAAATTTGCATTAGTTCAAGGGCAACGTTAAGCATTTTACAGATGGTTTATTGCTATTCTTGTGCTGTTTAAGCTGTCTTTCATGTCAAAAGTCCTTTCCTGCTTACAAATCATCAGGAAGAATTCCGGCCACCATGCTGTTTGCATAAGCTCCTTCAGGGGTTCTGGCCCTTTGATCACAGATATCGTTTGCAATCGAGTTAAAAATAGGAGGCTGCTGCGATAAGCCTCGGTTCTGACAGTAGACCAGCTTTCCTTTTTCTTCTCTAACTTTGTTCTCATCTTTTGTAGTATGGGAACACATAATCTCAACACAGAAGGGGCAGTGTTGAGGGATAAGAGTGGAGTTTAAAGAAACTGGGGAGGTCACTGAATGAGAACCAGCTTCTTACAAAGTGTGGTCCACCTTTCGAAGAATGAAAAGGGGGGGAAGTTCAAAAGAATGCAGCTGCTTATCTATATATCAGTTTTTCAAGCTGATTAGCAGATTACAGGCAGAGTACAATTTTAACATCCTCAATCCTGCTTAAAACACTCTCCCCCGCCCTTAAACTTTGTGTTTTGCTCTTAATCCACTGAGACTGTTTTAAGGGACAAAGCAAATACTTCTTGAACTCAATTGTGGGACCCCCATTGACTTCTATGGATGTGGTGTCAGTCTCGAAGCACATTGCTGTGTTCAGTGTCATCATAAAGGTTCTTAAAATAAACTGCAGCAGAGACAACTTTATTTCATAGTTGCATTGCAGTTTTTATATATAGAGAGATTGTTTAAATCATAGATTGTTGGTTAGCCATTGCAACATAAAAACAAGGTAAAAGAAGCATTATGTGTGAAGTGATAAAAAATTCAGTTTCTGGGGCCTGGTATCTGACAGCTCATTCACATATATGAAATTTACCATTTGGTGCTGCAGTCAGTAAGTGATGAACACATATGTGTTCATCAGCCTAGAGCTGAATCCAGACCATTCCAAAAAGCACATGGAATTCAGGATGGGGTGAAAACTCAGATTGGGGAAGGTACGGTAATCAATATGTGATGCGCTGTTTAAAAATAATTATGCAGTCATTTTGGGACAATCTAGACCTCTGCTGGGTCAATCCTTTAAATGGGCTGCAAATGCTGTCATCTTACTTGCTAGCTTTCCCTTCTGCCTTCATATGCAGCACCTCAAAACACTTTTCAAAAGGCAGCTTCACACAGAGCGTTCAGCTGGAACACTTGCAAAGTCTCAACTGCTTTCAGGGCGAGCAGTGCAATTCTAGTACATCCCTAGTTTGATGGCTTGAGGGTTCCAGGATTTGCATTCACTCTACCCATATCCCAGGACAGGTCATTCATAAGGTTGCCCAAGACAGTTTTGGTCCCAACATTGTATCGTAAGTTAAACTGATAAAGAACCAGATAATCAGTTTTTCTCCATGTGGATTATCAGACCAGATTCCTCCTTTATGTTACAGTAAAATAAACCTATCACATGAGAGGGGGAAAGGTGTATGACTATTACAGTTAATATAAAGGATGAATTGTATTATAACACAATAAATTCTAATAAAGTGCAGTCATAAAATTTTATTGTACATGACATCAGATAGCTCATAAAATTTAAACCCATACATAGCAGATAATGGTTGCATTCCTTTTTGTTTAATTTGGCTTGAGTCAGTATGATAATACTTAATTGCTTGACTATTAAATTCTTTGTTAGGAAATGAGACAATTTTTGTCATGGGAATAGAAGTGAAACACCTAGTTGTGAATGGCGGATATTGCTGAAATCCATTAGGGGTGCCAGCATTATGATGATACTTCGGTCTAATTTCAGCGCCCTTCATTCCTGTGTTGAACAACACAGAAACAAGGAGTGGGGGCCTCACTGGTTCTCCCACACCTGGCACTGAACACACTTCCCTTGACATTTGCAAGTATATCACATGGGAGCGTTCTGGCTGACCACACAGTGTTGAAGATTCTGGGGCAATCTTCACATACACAGGTGTGTGCCTTCATATGTGTGAAGGCACATACCTCCCGCTCCCCATTACAGACATTAGCAAGTGTGCAACATAAGGGGTTGGGCTGTTTGGTACAGCCCTGCTCCTTGCTTAGGTGTTACTCAACACAGGAACAAAGAACACCCAGAAAGGGTTCCTTTGGTTTGGACCCTCAAGGCCAGACTACTATAAAGGTCTGCCATGGAATGCAGTTGCATTGAGGTTTTTAGGGAGGTTAGATGGAGCAGTACTGCCAGTTGCTTTGCTGTGACAGCAAGTAATGTTTGGACAATTTCTTATTATATTCTCTATCAGGCGTTCAGCAATATCTATGGCAATAATGTTTTCTTACATTTCTTTTCATTAAGGGAGCAACTGAGAGAATACTAAGAACTGCTCAAGCAGAGAGAGAAAATAGAGGAGATGGAAGAGCAGAGAAATGATGAAGAAAACAGAATTCAAAACGGTAAATAAATTTATATTATATTGCCCTTTGAAACTCTCATACCCACTACAGCCAGTGTAATCCACCATTGCCAGCCAGAGGGTTTAAACATTCTCAGTGTCCATGTGAAGAAACACATATATAGTGAATTGAAAGCATACATTAATGTACAGAACAATTTTTTTATTCCTTCCAAATACTGATATGTGATTCTAGGTGAGATTAGAATCTGTACCAGGACACATTCCTGGCCTACCTGCTCCTGGGATTAAATACATCCTGTTACTGCAGTTAGAAAGCAGCTCTGGAAAAACACACACGATACTGGCATTCATGACTTCTGAAACACAAAACAGCTCAGACACAGAGGAAATGGGATACTCAGTCTTCCGCTCTTTCAGTGTCAGGGAAAATGTAAGTTAAATATTACAAATCTTTTTTGACAGAATAATCCTTTTAAAAGAACTTCTTTTCTTTCTTTTTTGGGTGAAGTTGTCCGAGTTGCATTATTTTTTAACAGGAGATACTAGTTTTTGGAACATTTCAGATAAACATATGGATGGAAAACAGTTATTCGTTGTTCTTCACTTGGTAGTCAGCTGTGCTTACCTCTAATAGTTTAATGTAGGATCATTTTCATGCTGTGCAGAGTGCTCTAGAGGATTCCAAAGGAAAGGAAATTCAGCCAGTAAGTTAATAAGGCAACCTGTATTTTAGATCTTTAATGGAGCACACTAGCAGCGGTGAGAGGAGATATGATAGTCATCTTCAAATATTGAAAGGGCTGTCACATGGAAGATGGCGCAAGCATGTTTTCTCCTGCCTCAGAGGGTAGGACCTGAACTAGTGGATTCAAGTTACAAGAAAGGAGATTCCAACTCAACATCGGAAAAAACTTTCTGACAGTAAGAGCTGTTTGACAGTGGAATGGAGTCCCTCGGAAGGTGGTGGACTCTCCTTCACTGGAGATTTTTAAGCAGAGGTTGGATGGCCATCTGTCATGGATGCTTTAGTTGAGATTCCTGCATTGCAGGGGGTTGGACTAAATGATCCTCAGGGTCCCTTCCAACTCTACAATTCTATGATTCTAAAAGAGCAGGAGACCTTAGTGTATGTGAAATAATCTGCTCTGTTGTTTCTAAAAGACAGTTTCCTTCCCAGACTCTTTGTGTGGCTGTTCCATTGGGCTTCTTGCCTTTTCCAAAGAACACCAACGCTTTGGCTGTGTACACATTACCATATACTTTTGTTCCAGCGTGTTTCCATTACTGCTGTCTGAAGTCGTGTACATGTGACAACAGCTACAATCCATATCCACCCTAGTTTCTTGAGAAGTACTGGACTGAGAGACATGAAAGTAAGGTTGGCGAGTTTGTGGTTAGAAATACTCCTGTTTGATTCATTTCCCCTCAGACCAATTTCCATCTGATTTGAAAACATAAGTTCAATTTGCAGTTGAGGTGAGGTGTGTACATTTGAGACAGCTGTTGCACACATCTAGATGGCAGCATGTGCACAGATGGCAGCTTCATGTATAGGAGTGGGGTATGCAGCCATAAGGAAACCAAACATATAATACACATCAGGTGATGACATCCACACTCCGTCTCCTGTATGCACCTCAACATGCAAATGCAACTTGAAATTCATTGAGGGGAAGCAACCTCACTGTGTTTTGAAGCTGCTAATGTGTACATAGCTTTAGAAGCTTAATCTTGTCTCCTCCTCAGGTTCTTGTACACTTCCTTCCAAAACAAGGTTTCACTCCAGAGTATCCAAAAAGCTCACCTTATTCTTTGTCCTACAATATCTTGGGTTCCTCTTCATACAAGCTAATGTACTAATACCTTGATTTTTAAAGTACACAGCTTCCAAGTATGTAGAAATGTTGTTGCAGCTAAACCTTCTATATTCTTTAACTTTTTTTGTTTTGTTAAAAAAGCCACATTATGCTTTTCAGGTCCATTTCTCCCAGCCCTAGAAGTCCATGCAAGCTTCCTTGAATAAATCAAGTTGATGTTTCTTGAACGTAAGGTAGCGCAGCACAGGGCAAAGCAGAGGGTGGGACTGTTGGCTTATGTTTAAGGACATGATTAATTTACTCAACTTTTGCATGCTTGTTAATGCAGAAATTAGTATTTTATGAGGAAAGAGATCTCCCCTTTAAATAATGCAACCTTTATTAACTTCATATTTTATACACACACATCTTTCATTGCTGACAGAATCTGGAAAAGTTCTTGCGGAGAATAAATTCTCCTATAAAATGTTTTAGTGGGCCCCTTCGGGTAGGATGTTGTGAGGCAGACTGATTGCTTAAGCCCCAGAAACAGTAGTCATCGTTGTGTAAGTTGGTGACCCTGGGAAAAAGAATAAGGGAGCGGAGGCCATTGGTGTGTTTTTTTTACGTTGGTGTGGCTGCTCGTAGGCCGTTTGATCTGTGCTTAGACGAGACAGTCCTCCAATTTAGGTTCTGTCCTGCAGGGATGACAAAGATATTTTTGGAACACTAGGTCATTATATAACTGACCCAGACATTATCTGAACCTAGCTTGTCCAAAGGTAGACAAAGGCGAGGTGCCCAAAGCCAACTAAATGGCCCTGGAAAGCTGCTTAAATGTGCCTTATCTCAGACATGGTAATTGGCTTTCTACTGGTGGCGAGTACAGTTCTGTTAAAGGCGGGCCTGAGGGAACCACTCTTTTTTGGACTGTAGTTTATTATTAGGTGAGGAAATTACTGGACACCTCCAGCTGTCATTAATCAGCCACGGAGCCTGACTGGAGCCAAGCAAGAGGCCTGTGGGTGTATTCCGCTGCATGGTAGGGAAATACAACGAGACAGAGACAAATGCTTTTCAGCCTAGCAGCACTAAACTCTGCCCTTTCACAGACCTTAACATGCATGTTCAAATTGATTTAGTCTGTTTACCCCCTCAGCTTTGGCATCCATTTCCCTTTAAGACTGACAGCTTTATGTGTCACTACCATGTTATTATGTGTTACCGTTCTACCAGTAGCTATAGCGTTTCGGACAAGTGTAAGGAAAATATATTTACTTCCAGACACAGAGGAGGACTTGGTAGTTCTGACAGTGCAGCTAGGAAAGCAGAGTCAATTAATTACTTTAAAAAGAAAAAAATGCATGTGTTTCCTCCTTTTATTTTCTACTTTCTCCTCACTTTTCTAGCCCATTCCAATTCATGTTAAAGAAAAAAAAGAGAGAGAGAGAGAGAGGTCGGGGGAAGCCTTAAATAAACTTACGTGATTGAGAAACACATCTGTCAGGTGATGTAAGTGTCTGGCTTATAATTCTTCCTCTCTGGTTTACAAACAAGAAATTTCTTCATGGCTGTGGAATGCCGACTTAAAGTCTGCTATAGGTGTGTGCCTCTCAAGCAAAAAATGAACACAAGTAGCAAATCACAGGGTTGACTTGGCTTGTAAACACCTTTTAACTGTATTTTCTCTTCTCTGCTGTAGGGACAGAATATACATGGAATGTGAATGGAAACTGAATGTGGCTATTTAAACACGATCTACCTAACGAAACATGAGCCAAACAGCCCTCTCTGTTTTCCCACTGCCAGTTAGGTGAGTCCTGTTCTCCTTTGCAGGTGTTCTCTTTGCCTTTGGGTAGCAGCCCTTCAAAAGTGACAGGTTCTGTGAAATTACTACAGTTACAAACCCCTCCAACCACTGATTTGATCTGTGGTTGGGTCGTCAGCAGGATGAGAAACTGAGGAAACTGTGAGTAGTTTCACATGAAGAGCTACAATATCTAAAGTCACAGAAGGGCAACTATGAGAGTGTGTTGACATACCATACAGTGAGATTGTGGCTCACCTCACAGGAGCACATAGTTAACAACTTGACAACAACTGCACACTGAAATACCATTGCCCCTGAAACCCTCACTGTCAGGATTCTTCATTCCTGACCTGTGCTGCCTTATACTACCATTTATGTCTAGTGTGAAATTTCTCTAGGCTGTAGAGGTGCCTTGGAATGAAAGGTATACATTAAATGTACCACTACTATTTTTATTTATTCAGCTCTTCTGGGTGTATTGACTTCTCCATGTTTTTATGAGTTGCCTGAGGCAGCTTTTGCTAAAGGTGTTGATAAAACCTTTTCAGGTGAAATGGTGGACAGCTGGACCATATGTCCCCCCCCCAATTTTCCCCCAGCTAAAGATTGTTAAATAATAACTTGAGGGTATTTTCTCCTAATGAGCAATAACCATATCCTAGGCAAAATAAACTACAGGCCACAGGCCTAGGTGTTTATTAGCCAAGGATATGGTCAGTAACTTATTTTGCTAGAAGCATCCTCTAGCTCTTATTTAAGGCTGATGCAAAGGTTACTTGGGCTGAAATGAAGTGAGTAGGATGAAGAAACTGTGTTTGTGTTTATTTTACTGAATGTACCTGCATGGCAGGCAAGGCCTGAAGCGCTGAATATAACAAGGATCAGAATCTTGAAATTAACAGCCTGCTTTACTCAAGTTATAAAAGCAAATTAATTAAATATTTTCATGGCTGCTAGGAAAGCACTCAACGGTTTAGTCCCATAGAGAGAAATGAGATTGTGTAGAAATAGTCACAATGAGGCAACAGTGTCAATTCAGGGTTATTATGGGTTATAGCAACAGCCTTATACTGAGTCAAATCATTGGTTCATCAGCATTATTTTAACAGATAAAAATACCGTACGCTCTTCAAGGTTTTAGACAGCGGTGCCTGGAGATGCTAGGCATTGAACTCACCGGCTACAACCCTTCTCTTGTGTTTCTTGTTATGGAATGATTCCCAGAGTCTTTATACAGGGAGCAAGTGTTTTATTTTCAAAAAGAGAGGTGCTGGGGCTCTAAGGCAGGAGTTGCCAATGTTTCTGGACCACTGGGTACATTTGTAATCCTCAGAAAGTGTTGTGAACACCAGTCACAAAATGAGTGCTCTCTGTGTGTGAGTGGGAGATTAATATTACACAAAATGACTGTTGTGGGGGCATAACACAAAAAAAGGCTGTCACATCTAGAAGAGCAGAAAAAGAGGCAGGACCACAAAAATGTGTAGGCAAATCTCATATCAGCCCCCAAACATCTATGGGAATAAAAAGGCACTTTTTTCATTCACAATGAGAAGCAGTTTGCACATCTCCTTTGTTCAGAATGGGTCAGTGTCCAATTGTAGTATCCAATGAAATGTGGCCCTGGCTTATGGGGCATGTTCAGTGTACAAGCTGAGCTCAGTGCAAACCAGAACTGAGCAGGTAGATCAAACTTAGTGGGCAAGGCCATAAATAGATATAATGAAGATAGGAGTTAATGAGAAGGTTGAATGAGGGTCTGCATTATCATTTGCAGTTCTTGATGTCAGTAATAAGGGACTGGAAAAGGGTTGTCAGTTGTCTTGGTAACAAAATTAAAAAGATGCAATATTATTTTGTTTTACAACTGTTTATAGTTTAGTTTAGTTTTGCATTGTAATTCTAATTGGCTATCATTTTTGAAACAATTTACACTGATATAGACACAAGCTGAATGAGCCAAAAAGATTTAGGCAAATTGAGTTCTTATAGAATCTTGATGCTTAGCAGGAATAGCCTTATTTGAAAAGCTAGTAGATAATGAGGTCCAAACTACAGCACACCATTGTTACTAAAGCATAATAAGACTAGTGTAAAATCTCCCAACATGTGTGTCTGTGTTGCACATAAAATTCCTGGACATGGAAATGTCAAGAAATCAGTTTCTTAAACTAAGACATTGCCGTTGAAAATTGATATGGGCATAGTCTTAGCAAAGCATTTTCATAGGTTATTAGTTCCAGTGAGTTTGACCATCTATCAAATGAATGTACCTGATACAAATATATATGGCATTGACTAATTGGCATGCTGACAGTTGGCCTAAGTTAGATATATGATGTTGTGCCGCTGAGGTTGGTAGAAAAACAAAAATACAAAAAGGTAGCTATGCTATGCCTACAATTAGCAGTGTAAACATCTTAATAGGCATCGAGGACACAAACAGATGTTCTAATAGCGTGTCTGTGAGAAACTGATCTGTACTACTTCCACTCTAGCTTGACCTCTCAAAGTTTCAGTCCCACTGGGAATTTCAGTGATTTATTAATTTGGGCACAATGAATACCATAGAGACAAGCAGTCGTTTTTAAGGAGTGCGGAAACAGTGTGTGTTTGTGTGTCATTTCATAGGCGTTTTTCTCCCTGAGAAGCACCCTTTTGTATTTTTTGCACCCTTTTGTATGGGTGCAAAGGCAGAACAATATTCACAAGGATGTAGGTGTTCAGAGAAGAGCAAATGTTTCCCCATTGCTAAGGTGACAAACAGGTCAATGGTTCCAATTTGAATTTGACAATCTGGTTTAGAATGTGGATGGAGATATGCGATGTACAGCTGAATACATTACCTTGCCCCAACTGCTCATGTGTAACTAACTATACACAACCATAACTGGATCAGAGTGAAAATTTCATTGTAGAGTGGTGGCAGGAAATTAAGTCGGTAGTGCAGTATTTTAAGTCATTGCTTGGGCAATTGACAATTAATTCTTTTTTCCCTATTCAGAATGAAGGCAGTGGTAATCCCTTATTCACCCTCAGATGCATTGTAAAAAAATTGATGAAAACCCTCAAAGATAGAGGGATTTTGCAGAGGAATTTTTGTGTCTCTCAACTGCATACTTTTTGCATAAAATCTCAAATATCTTTATAATTCTGCACAACTCTGGTTGCAATAGGGGAAGTGGAGCCCAGACCAGTATGCAATTAATCTGTGATAAAACAGAATCTAATCTCAAAATTAATCAAAATGGATTGCTGCAGCATCATTCTACTACATTCCTAGAGCAAGGGGAGGAAAGATTGATTATTCAGAGGATGTGGGAATACTGGGAAACAAAGAGTGAGACAAAGAGTGAGAGAGCGAGAAAGAGCCATAGTTGGGCATAGTTTGGCCATAGAGAGCCAGTGTGGTGTAGTGGTTAAGAGCGGTAGTCTCGTAATCTGGGGAACCGGGTTCGCGTCTCCGCTCCTCCACATGCAGCTGCTGGGTGACCTTGGGCCAGTCACACTTCTCTGAAGTCTCTCAGCCCCACTCACCTCACAGAGTGTTTGTTGTGGGGGAAGGGAAAGGAGAATGTTAGCCGCTTTGAGACTCCTGAAGGGGAGTGAAAGGCGGGATATCAAATCCAAACTCCTCCTCCTCCTCCTCCTCCTCCTCTTCTTCTTCTTCTTCTTCTTCTTCTTCTTCTAGTTTGTGGAAAGCAAGCCTGAATTTGAGATTAAGAAAAGTTTATTTTGGGCCAAAGAATCCCCTGTAAATAATTTTCTTTGTATTGTTAATTGGGGGGCAGGGCGGAAATGCTTTCTGGAAATTCATTATAATTGCATATTTATTCAAAAGCACTTTTGTAATGGTAGTCCATCAAGAAAGTGTTTCAAAACCAAGACCCAATTTCCAAAGCTAATGCATACTTAATATTTTCTGAAAGATGTACCAACATTTCAGTGAGAAGGGGTTGTTTTGCTGTATCTTGAATCCTAATGTTAAACTTAATTGTTTCTCCAAAGCTGCTTAATAAAATGATCCTGATATGTGCTCTTGTTTTCTTCAACATGAGAAAGCTGAGTGGTACAAGATCTTGATCAGTTACATGTCAAATTATATGTCCTTTCTCTTTTATAAGAACTTCTTAATATTATTTGCCTAGAATAAATGCAGCCTTGACTTTGCAAACAGTGCTGCATATAATCAGTATGACTCACAACAGCAATACTGACATACTCTAAAATGAGCAAGTACATAAATCAGAATTGCTATCTCTGCCCCACTCCACTGCCCCGCTGACAGGATTTGTGTACATCTACTAGCCTCTTGGAAGGCACAAAGTCAATGGATAGACCCATCTTCATTGTTCACTATGCTGTGAAAGCAGTTTCTTGCCAGGTATGTAGCTGTTAAAAGCTCAGGAACCCTATCAAGAGGAAAAGGTGGATGGACACAGTGGTAGCAGGAGAACACTTTCCGTATCTTTTCCTGGTGAGCTGATCATAATTCACCTAAAATTTTTGTAGTCCTCATTTTGAGAATGGAAAACTGCAAAGGAGAGGAGGGAAGTGAGGGATGAAAGAGATAATAATAATAATAATAATAATAATAATAATAATAATAATAATTTATTATTTATACCTCGTCCATCTGGGCGGCTCCCAATCAAGTGTTAAAAACTATACAGATAAGAGTAGTTAACAAGAGGTTAACCGTCTACAGTAGCTATTCAGGTCTCACCATGCTTCTAATGCCACAGATCAATATGGTAGAGGAAACAAGTTTGTAAATATCTGTGAGAAAAACTGTAGTACTGTAGGTCCACTAGCAACTGGGCACTTGTGGCCCAAAGGTTTCATTTGTTGTTTCAAACAGCACATCTGGATGGCATCAAGGATCATTTCCACATGCAGCCAGATGTTATTATCGCTTGCCAAAAAAAAAAAAAATCCATTGGGGTCAATGGAGGTAATAGCTTGCAAACGGACCATATCTAGGCTAGGAGCCAAGCTGGCATTCATTTTATGAATGTTTTTGCAAACTTTTTTGTCCTCCAGAAGAGGATGTGGAATCAACAACAATGTGTCAATCATTCTAGTTGCTTGCACATGGAATAACAGGTTGTAGGACATACCTGAAATAGGTAAACTTGGTCGGACTGGGAAGATTCTTGCTCATCTCTCCTCTAAACAACACTTGCCAGTTCCATTTATTTATATTGCCGACTTAAGCAAACGTTCACTGCTCTTCCATTAGTAGCAATAGGACTTGATTTTGACTGGATTATGCTCACAATATTAGTTGGTGAAACCACGATCCTTGCGTATCTGAAACAGAGTGATGCATTACAGACTTTAAAACAGGGCTGAGACATCTGAAGAAGGCAGCATTCCCTTCTCATGGGTGGGGCAGAGGTAAAATAAATGGAGCAATAAGTGTAGCTCAAGTTATACAGACACCCCTTTCTAGTATCTTATGAGTCATGATCAGGGGTCAATGACACATTCCAGGCAGGCAAAAACACTCAAAAGAGGGTGTGAAGCAAGGCTAGTCAGGGGGTCTCCCAAGGAGCCCTCCGGGCCTCAGATTCCCCACTCCTGCCTTAAAATATGTATGGTGGGTGCCATGCTAATATGTGACAAGGGTGATAGGCTTATATGGTGGCACTTAGGGTCACCTCTGGAATGATGCTTCCTTTCTGTTCATCTGATAAATTGGCAAGAATCCATGTTGTGCCTTCACAGAGCTGTTATGAAGGACATTCTTTTCCATGGCTGGCTGGACTGCAGCAGGCTTTAGGCTAGAATTAGAATGAATATTCCAGTATTTTCACATACCAGCACTAGTATGAAAGTAGTGGGGGCATAACATGCCTCTACTCCTGTGTTTGCAAAGCAAAATAATAGAAAACAACCCTGGTCTGCTGGTAAAAAATTGATACGGAATATTTGCTTATGCCAACAATTTTAAGTTTATAGCCTGGAAGAGGCACCCAGATAATGTTAGCCTTAATTGCTGTTTTCTTCTGAACATGGGAGTAGTCCAAAGGCCGTGAATGGAAATTAAAGAAAAATTAAAAACAGATGGCAGAAAGCACTCTGAGAAACTGAAACACAGGCAGTACTATGCTCAATTTAGCAGAAAGAGAGAGGGGTGTCTCTGGAGTTACTATGTCCCCTTCTCCTTGCATAATATATCTTCTCAGGCTGAAGTGCACAATAGACTGTTTCTCTGAAATGTCCCACACAATTCAGATAGCAGCTATTGGGTCAGATTGCTTTTATTTTCAGTCTTGGTTTTGGGAGCCAGAGTGAGAAAAATCTTGGCTTTAAATTACTTGATTTTCCCAAGAAGAAACCCTATGTGTTTGGCAAAGCTGAGTGGGACAGAGGAGTGGGTCATACATATCGCTTTCAGGGGAATCTTACAGAGAGGATTTCTGGAGTTGCCTCACCTGCCATAGCTCACAATCCTCTGTGACACTTGCGGATTAACAGAGGCTGGCCCAGTAGGGCAAATGGAGCACTGGCCCATGGCCTTAGTCTGCCCTCAGCCAGCTCCCCATCTGCAGACAGCCAATAAGGAGCTGGCTCTGCCTGTCAATGGCTCTGGCTAGGGAAGTGGAATAATTGGATTCAGTTCGTATTTAAAGGCGAACCTACCGCTTTGCACTTTGTGAAACATAACACGAACTGAAACACAGTTCTCCTGCCAAGAAGCGGGTGAAAAAGAGCATATGCTAGGGGAAAGTGTGCATAAAAATGCACATGCTAGTGAAAATAACACATTGTGGTTTAAGATCGGGGGGAAAGGAGGTTCCTTTAAGCTGATGTGTTAGGTGGGAGAATGTTGTCTGGATGAGGAAGAGCAGCAGCCTGACAACCACTGTGCCTTTGCTGCGCATAACTGCATCTAGAAAAGCCTTTGATATGGCTCTGTGGGACAGTGTGATACTGCTTGAGCGGTTGGTGGTCAGGTGTAGGGAGTGAGGGGTTCAGACTATGATCCTAAACACCCAGGTTTTTTGCTTCCAAATAAATACGTTTAGTGCTGAGTTAACAATACCGTTCTTGAAATACAAACTCTCTCCCACCCCCATACCTTCTGTCAAGAAGAGCAGTCATTAGAAAAAAAGTCACAATTCAGAGAGCAGCCTCAAAGTCATTATATTGTTAGTAAAATCTGTTGAGTAGGTGGCAAATCATGTTTTGTTCAAAATTTCTGCCTTTCTGTGAGAATTAGGAACCTGGAGATGGTGAGCAAGGGGAAGTAAAGGCTGGAATAAAACTTCAATTCTTGGAGATGTTTCAACAAAGAAATATTTCTGCTTCTCCCTCACACTCCTCAAAATCTTAAAAGAAGGGCTAGCCCTGGAATGTGCTAGTCTAGATAACAGTAACCTCTGCATCTACATTTCATAATCTTTTTCTTCCGGTCAACCAGCTGTGATTCCTCAAACCAGATAAAACAGAATCTGGTGAACTTCAGTTTATGTTCACTCACACCAATGGAGGCCTTACTTATTTGGAATTTGATGGAGAGCATTAATTATATGATTAGAGTTCAAATAACATGTTGTATTTATGAACAGGATTACTTCCATGGGAGGAAGTAATCTCACCTAAAAGCTGAATTTTGCCAGAAAAATAGATGTATGAAGGCTTCAGCTCTGCAAAAATAATTCTGCTGTACATCATCACTCACAGTTCCCAGATTAAATTGCTCCAATGTACCGTCACTGAAATATAGTCCATTGTGGATAGCACTACTTCTCATTAAAAGTCTTAGTTATATACAGCCCTGTAATCTAAGACCTGGTACTGACAGGTAATAACAGACTAGCAGATACATAAAGCCAGGAATTAGGCCTTGCAGTAAGCCCAGATCCAATTTCTTTCTCCATATCAACTTCTGGTAGCCTAGGGTGCTTTCTGATTGTTGGGGTGTTGCTCCTCATGTGCGCATTTCCGCCAGCATCCACACGGCATCATCATTAACATGCTAGCCTATATTCTCCCCTCTTTAATTTGGATTAATTGTCCCTGGGGAATATCTCATAAATTAAGAGAGAGAAAAACAATGACCCCTATGCCAAATCTCAGCAACCCATTTGCAATATTAAGCTCAAAACTGGGAGCACCCACTATTATAGCACAGCAAAGCTATGGAGATTGTGTTATTACAGATTGGTACTGCTCTCAGAGGTCACTGTTCCTAACCATGCAGGATCCATCAATAAAGTAAATAACTGGAGGAAGTAGGACTGCACACCACTACCCCACCATAACATTGCTCTGCTGGTCCTCCTGCCTGATGTCTTTACATTGAGTTGAGTATGTGAAAACAAGTACCTTCATGTACATAATAAGATGCCTCATGCCTATTCCTATCATCCTTAAAGATAGGTGACTAAATTCTGAGGAGCACTTTCACAAAGCTGACCACCCCACATTTTGGTTAACAATTATAGTAGCAGTAGTAGTAGCAGTAGTAGTTGTAGTAGCAGTAATAGTTTGTCAATGACATAAACAATAGCCCTCTTAAACTATCAATTAATGGTTGCCCTTTCTCTTACATATGTACTTTTTAGCAATCCAAATGAAAGATCAGGCTAAATGATAGTGCTATTTTCCAGTCAATTGCCTTTGGTTAAAAGTACAATAAAGTCAATTACCCATTTCCATGAAAGCTTATTTTAAAGGAACGGATATATCATAATAATAAATGACTGCTGGAGAGCTCACAGTTCAATTAGATTCATACTTAAGAATGCTGTTCGAGATGAAATTGTATTTGCATTGGATTTCATGTAACCTTTTACTTGCATTACATTTATAGTCTAACATGAACCGGCCAGTGTCTGTAGAAGGCAATGATTTTGTACTCAACTAACCACTTACAAGATATATATGGGCAAGGTGGACAATATCTCATGTCCAAATCCTTTTTGTGTGTGTGGCAGGTATGTGCGAGAGTGAAAATATGAACTTATTTATTTGCCTATTGAAATTATCCTTCCATAATCCAATATATCATGCCCATATTATATCCAACAGAAAAACCCAATGATGTGTTCCCTACAGCTAGCAATAATGTGGTTATTGCTATGTTATACAACCTTACTAGTTGTATTACCTAGTAATAGGCAGCAAAAAACCAGCATTGTTCCTGAATGCCCAGCTTGCATTTTTAGCCCAAAATGGATTTGCCCACCTCTAACTGGTGTGCCAGTCCCTATCTGGCTTATGACCACATGTGCCTTTTTATATCCAAATTGAAAGGCATTCTCTGTCTGCAAATGGTGGAGGCAGTGTTGGTCGGGGCAGGGTATAGTCAGACTAGTTTAAAGGAGACTGTACCCTCTTTGCACGGTGGGGCAGCTGAATCACTGCAGCTTACTAGGTTTCATTGCCATTCTAAGAGAATGAGGGAGGTGTTCATGGTTGGTTCTGGCACCTCTTTTTCTAGAAAAATAGCACCGGACAGGTGCATATTTTATCTGTTAAAGTCCTAAATGGAAACTAGAGTACACAAAGGACCACTTTATCCCACAAAAGCCTACTTGGTAAGATCTCAATCAATAGCCTTTCCAGAGCACTTCTACTGACTGAAGTGAGATTGCAGGTGACAGGGAAAGGGGCCTTTTTATTGACTGTCCTTTCCCATCCTTCCACTAGACTGCCTCTCTTTTCTTATCACTTTTAGAAAGGACCTGGAAATGTTGCTTTTTCCCTTCTAGTTTTAATATGTCTTGATGCCTTTGCAATCATGTAGAACTATTGCTTTAAACAATAGATTGCCCAACCAGTGTCTGCCGTTGCCTCCTATGGTTGCCTGCAAAGGGTCTCAGTAAACAGCCCCTCATAAATCCACAAGATGGCATGCCTACACTGTTCTGTCTCTTTTTCTGCTCTTCTAGATATGACAGCCATGTTTTGTTATGCCATACGCTAAGGCTGCCATTTTGTATTATACCACATTCCTATGGCAGACATCACATGTACCCTGGTTACCATTTTGTGACTGGCACACATCACACATCCCCAAAATTCAAAATGTGCTCGCAGGCTTAAAAAGATTGATGAAGAAACAAGACCTACCAACAGAAACTGTTCTCAGTAAATTACAATTTATCCAGGACTCAGAAGTTATCTTGGTAGAACCATTTCAACCTGACCTCATCTGTTCAACACAGAATTTTAAATAGTATAGATATATCTAAACATACTTAGAAAAATGAATGTCACAGATCTGAGGACACAGTTTTCAAGCCTGAAAAGGTTTCTGCTTACTGTAGCTTGAAATAAATCACTGACATTTTTGTGTTCTTTTCTTGGGTCTGCCCAAGTCCACACTCTCAGCAATTCACTACTTCCTGCAACAATCTTACACCATACCACTATGAAACAAAAGCAAAACAAGACTGAACAGCTATCTTTCCTGGAACTATATTGCTATTGCAGATGGTGAGTTGATTTGAGTCTCTGAATTCCACAGCGTTTTCCATTACTGTGCTTGGCCACATAGCCACATAATCGTAAGTACAAAAACACTCTCATCTCATTTCCCTTGGCTTAAGTACTGCGATTTGTGCCACTCACTAAAATGCAGGCACTTCTCCCCCCTTTTAAATTTGATATTTCAATACCATCCACCAGCTCTTCTGGCCACTTCAGAATTTTCCCCAGTCACAGTTCCCACTCTATGCTCACTTTTAGGCTGGATTTTTCAGTATGCTCTGCGAGATATAACCATTTCATCACACAAAATGAAAGTGTGATTCACTGCCATATGAATACAAGAGCAATACGTAAGCTTTGTGCTCAAGATACATGCAAGTTACACATTCATATCATGCCAAAGCCTTATTAAAATTGTTAGTATTTGACTAAATAGTAAATAGCACCCTTGATTCAACATGAATAGTATCCAAGCAAATTCACACCATTTACTTCATTATTTTATTAGTTTTCTATGCCAGCCTTCGTCCGAGGATCACAGGGCGGTTTACAATATAAACACACAAAAATACACAACATAGTAACAAACAATGTCCTCAGTATATTATTTTATTTATTAAGAACTGTGGTGAGCTTGGGGGTGTGGCTTAGCGAGTGGACCTAGGTGAAGCCTACACACACACAGGTTTTACTCTGGTCCACTCCCTGGGCATAAAAGGAAGGCATGGCCAGGAAAATCACAAATGCTTGTCCTGTGTTGATTGCAATCTCATCTGGGGCTTGCGGCCCGTGGTTCCTCTGTACCTTGGGCCCACAACATTACAATTATGGAATACTATTTTTAATGCTTTGTGGTTGTTAATGCTTTATTTTTAGTGCTTTTATACTGTATGGGAGACTTTGATTTGACTGAAAAGGGACTGAGAAAGTGAATAATAATAATAGTAATAGTAATAATAATAATAATACTGATTGACTAACAGTTTATAAGGGATACTCTTTCAATTAGAAATTCATATTACATTTATTATCCAATGTCTTGTTTAGCCTAACTAGAACATATAAACTACTGTATTTACTTAAATGTAAAGCACACCTTTTTTAGCCAAATTATGTCATGAAAGTTAGGGTGCACATTAGTTTTGAAAATTGAGGTGTGCATTAGATTCAATGGCGCATTAGATCACGTAAATACAGAAGGTTATTAAACCTAATTGCAATTTATTTTTGTATTTATTGTATTTTACATTGTGATTTGGATTTTATGACTGCTTGAGAGTCAACTTCCATATTCTGTTTCAATGAATTCTGCAGCTCCACCTTGGACCCTGGCCAACCCAGGAATTGCCAGAATACCCTGAGCACTGATCCTCTCCTGAGATTTTCCAGCCCATCACTGTCAAGGAGGACAGCCAGCCACAGAGGAAGCATTCGAGTTCTGGCAGCACTTTTCAGACATCCAGCTGCAATATGCATCAAACTGCTATTGATGCAGTCTGATGCAGAAGGTTGGAAGAAACAATTGTTGCTCTATGGGTCTCAAAGGATAAGAGCATGCCTACAAGGCAGCTGACTGCAGTCACATTTTGACACTGTAGCACATAATCAGATGTACTGAGTAAGTGGTCCTGGAAAAATCTGGAGCCTTTCCTCTCAGCACGAAATGTGAGAACTTGGCCATGCACTGATTTTGCTTGCAGTTGTCTTCATCAGATGTATGAATCGGATGGAGACTAGCTAGGCTGAAATCCCTTGCAGGCGGTCATTGTAGACCTACTACAGCAAGTAAAACATGTTAAGGACCCATTGCCATTAGTCCATAAGTTCTGTTCAACCAACATCTGAATGGCTCTTTTCATCTAAGGCTGCTGACCTAAGTTGATCACAGCTTTGAATATTTCCTAATACTTTAGCAAACAATTCACATGAAAGTGAGTAGGGCTGAATAGTGCTTAACTTCTCATTAAACCAATTTGGGATTGGGTTCTACAATGAGAAACTGATCCTTTCGTGTCATTGGCCCCGTCTGGTGGAATAATCTTGCCAACAGAGATTCAGCGGGTGCCTTATGTGCCAACTTTTAAATGCCTGCTGAAAACTTTTCTATTCTGCCAGGCCTATGCAGGCAATTAAGAGTACATCAATCACAATGGTCTGCTGATGTCTGCTTTCAATTTCTTTTTGCTTTTAACTTGTTTTTAACTTTTTATGATGTTATTGTTTGGTTTTATGTTTTTATATTGCAAACTGCTATGATATATGATATCTATTTATGATACAGCAGTATATACACATTTTTTATAAATTAATGACATATTTCTTGATGACATTTAGCTGGCCGAGGAAAATAATTATATACAGTGGTACCTTGGTTCTCAAACTTAATCCATTCCAGAAGTCTGTTCCAAAACCAAAGCGTTCCAAAACCAAGGCACGCTTTCCCATAGAAAGTAATGCAAAATGGATCAATCTGTTCCAGACTTTTAAAAACAACCCCTAAAAGAGCAATTTAACATGAATTTTACTGTCTAACGAGACCATTGATCCATAAAATGAAAGCAATAAACAATGTACAGTGGTACCTCGGGTTAAGAACTTAATTTGTTCTGGAAGTCTGTTTTTAACTGGAAACTGTTCTTAACCTGAGGTACCACTTTAGCTAATGGGGCCTCCCGCTGCTGCCGGGCCGCCGCCGCCACGCGATTTCTGTTCTCCTGAAGTAAAGTTCTTAACCCAAGGTACTATTTCTGGGTTAGTGGAGTCTGTAACCTGAAGCATCTGTAACCCAAGGTACCACTGTACTGCAGTCACACACAATCAATCAATCAATCAATCAATCAATCAATCAATCAGTAGCCGAACTGGGTTCCACAGTCACAAAAAAGCCACAAAAACAAAAAGCAAAATAAATAGCAAAAACAGACAGAGCTCAGCGTAACACTCAAAATGCAAGTGTGGCACTCAAATCGGAAATGTAACACTCAAAACGGAGCATGTTCGGCTTCCGAAAATAGTCTGCAAACTGGAACACTAACTTCCGGGTTTGCAGTGTTTGGGTTCCAAGTTGTTTGAGAACCAAGGTACCACTGTAGTCTGAACTGTAATCCATTGAAATATAGGAAGGACGCTGACCATTGATTTCACTATCTCATTATTGTCTACAATAGCCAGCAGCAATTCTCCATGGTAGCAGACATGAAGGTTTCTCTAGATCTACCTGGAGACCTCAGGAATTGAACTTGGGACCTGTTATATGCAAAGCATGATCTCTCCCACTGAGCTATAGCCCTTCAGCAGGAGGAGAACCCATAATTGTTTATGTAGTGGCAATGGTTTTGTCCTGACTATAACACCAACACCACCACTTTATCCTAATACGATAGATGCACAAACACTATTATAATACCTTACATATGATCTATTTCTGCATATTCAAAGTATTTTCTCATCTCAATCATCCTTACAAGATGCCCACATTATTATGCCTAATATTGCACATGGTGGGGTGGTGGTGCACTGAGGCTGAAACAATCATGGCTTTAAAGGACGCAATCCTATATATCAGGGATAGCCAACATGGTGCCCTCTAGATGTTGTTGGGTTACAGTTCCCATCCTCCTTAACCACTGGCCATTGTGGTTGGATCCATTGAGAGTTGGAATCCATCAACATCTGGAGGACACCACATTGAGCTAACCCTAATATAAACACTTCCCAAGAAGTAAGTCCCATTTAACTCACTGGCGGTTACCTCTGAATAGACATGCACAGGGTTGTATTGTAAGCTAATCAGTGAATGTGTGGCTCAGGTAAGAGTTGAACCAAGGATTCCCTGGCTTCTGTCACCAAGCGTTGGGTCATCTTTGGTGCAGAATGCTTTCACCAGACGTGTGAATTGGCACTGAGCCCCCCCCCCTTAAGATTAAGACATATTAACAATAAGATTTGCTGACAGAAAAGTTTTATATTATGCGAAGATGCCTTACTGATGTGTAGAATATAAACGGTCTTGTAGATTTACATGGATGTTCCTTATTATTTTAACAAAGTGTAGATGAGACATTAATGTCATCTTGAAGAAGTTTCAGCTTTTGAGATCAAGAGCAGCAGAAAAAGATTTCCAGTTGTTGGGAATCTGAGATTTTAGCAATTTCTATTTATATAATATTTACCACTAGCTGAGGAAAAAGCCCCTTCTCCTGCCAATATCAGGGGAAAATGTCTACATAAATTAAGGCCTAGAACTACTTTGGTTTAGAATTTGTAACAAATCTTCTGGGAACTTAGAAACCTTGTTGTTTTGTGGCATTCCTTCCATCCCCTAATATGCTCTAATGAATGATATTGAAAGATAAGAAATGTCTGTTTCTGAAAACAGCTGGCCTGGGTTTGGTTCTTTGGAAGTACATTATAAAGTCCTGGTTTAAAACCAAGAAGTTAATAGGAATGCTTCCAAATCAGTTATATCCTTCTGATATTAATTAAACTAGTTTATATCTAGAAGGAAGGTAAAACTGTAACCAGTACAAAATTACTTGATAGCCACTGTTGCATTTCCAAATACAATGTAAGGATTTAACACCTCAGTTGGCAACAACGTTAGTTTGGTTTTAGCTGAATTAGCTCTGCTGACTTCAGCAAGGCAATCCATTTTAATCCAAGAACTTTGGTTTAATTCCATTGTGGACTATGCTGGTAGAATCTGGGACCTCATCCTAAATATATGTTGCTGCAAGTGAACTCTAAGGCTCCAACTACATAGATGTACATTGGTTCCCTCCCATTATGTAAGCACATATTTTGGGTCATGCTTCTCCTGTTCCAATCCTACAGCAACCCACCCTAACCCTCTGAACAGGCCTTTGGACATATCCAGTGGGGCACAGGAGGGTGAGAGGAAAGAGTTGTTTCATAAGCTGCTTTCCACTCATGTAACTGTTGGATTACAACCAATTCTTTCTTGCATTTTTATTTGTTGAAGAAAGCCACACATATTGGGTTGGATCCTAAGAGTTATGAGCAGACATTTTTCCTGTGGAAGACAACTTTCCCATCTTCTCCATCCTACTGCAGCCCCCTGAAAAGTTGGGACTTTTCCAGATGACCTATTTATTCCACATTCATCCTGATTTGGAGGTTAGATTATATCCAGTCTTCGTTGAGCAATCATTCTGATTTCTTTATGGGATGGCTATATCACAATGAACATTTATCCTAAATTAATTGTGATTTGCTTGCGGGACATTTTATACATCTTTCCTCTAGTCATTCACTTATCACACACCTTTCAGTGCATTTTCCATTAAGTTTCCAAACCTCAAGGAGTCCCATTCTTTTTTTTCTTTCTTCAAGCAGATTAGAGCAACAGAACCCATTAATTGCACAATCCTAGGCTGTGTACACACCAGATTTATAAAGTGTATTTAAAGTACCTTTCCCCCACCCAAAGAGGGCACTGTAGTTTGTTAAGGGTGTTGGGAACTGGAGCTCTGTGAGGGGCTAAACCAGGCTTCCTCAAACTTGGCCCTCCAGATGTTTTTGGCCTACAACTCCCATGATCCCTAGCTAGCAGGACCAGTGGTCAGGGATGATGGGGACTGTAGTCTCAAAACATCTGGAGGGCCAAGTTTGAGGAAGTCTAGGCTAAACCACAGTTCCCCAAATTCTTCTTTTTTGAGGGGTGAAAAAAAATGCTTCAAATCTATGTGCTTGAATCTCTCCCATGCAATGCTGACAGTTTTGAGCCATTCTTAGTGTGGGATGTGGCTGCATCTTGAGAAAGGAATTGATATAAATCAGGGGCACCCCCTCGTATGCGTAGAGTCTATTTCCCACTCTCACAAGAGGCCCTTTGGAGTCAACCCAACGACTGCATATATAGCACACACTGAGAAGATTAGTATAATCCATGACAAAAAGAAAAACACCAGCACTCTTCAGACTAATTAGACCTCTTATACATTACTATTTTCTGACAGTAGTTAGAACTCCAGCTGTATGCCACCAGTCGAGTTAACTCCTTTGAGGAGTGTTGACATGACCAATAACCGTGGTGGATATCAGCAGTCATTATAACTACTGCACTGAACGGGAACGTGTCATATCGCTGAAAGGGAATCCCACAATATGCATGTCTAATATTAACTCCCTTGAGAATGAGGTGCAGCAGTATATCAAGAGGAATTATAGTTCTCTTAATTGATTCTTCACAGTGATAAGAGACAACTAATATTTTTTTTTTTAAAAAAATGCCATTACTGATATTTGGTTCTATAGGTAGGGCCTGGAGGAGATGTCCACATAAGCAGTGTCTGACTATTGTTGGATGGGAAGGACTGATATGATTGTTTTCAACTATTACCAGGAGAACAGGAGGGGCTGTGCCACAAAGAAGCAGCTCTTGTGCTGCAGGAATATGTACGAATGTGGCCTAAATGAAGGGAATGAAACTGTGCATGAAGAATGCCAAATCATGCACTAACATGACTTCTCAGTGGTGCCTAAAAACTGATTTAAAGACGCTGTTCTTGCATGGTTCTTTCTTGGATTCACACCACTCCAGAAACCTGCATTGCAAGGGTTGCACTATATGACTTTTGGGGTCCCTTCCCACTTTCAGCTCTTTGATTCTGTGAAACTAAGGAATTGCTTGCTTCCCCTCCCTTCAAAATAGTAATAATAATAATATTTATACCCCGCCCATCTGACTGGGCCTCCCCAGCCACTCTGGGTGGCCTCCAACAAAATATTAAAATACAGCAATGCATCAAACATTAAAAGCCTCCCCAAACAGGGCTGCCTTCAGATGTCTTCTAAAAGTCTGGTAGTTGTTGTTCTCTTTGACATCTGGTGGGATGGCCTTCCACAGGGTGGGTGCCACTACCGAGAAGGCCCTCTGCCTGGTTCCCTGTAACTTGGCTTCTTGCAGTGAGGGAACCGCCAGAAGGCCCTCGGCGCTGGACCTCAGTATCCGGGTAGAATGATGCGGGTGGAACATTTTGATCAACCCTAATCATCCTCAGTTTGCTCTTTTGTTTTCATACTGGAGTTCCTGGCCCTTGGTTTCTGCACTGGTTCCTTTCAGCCAACACTCACATCCTATCTGCCTAACTGGTTTCTCTTCTCTTTTTACCTTCATTGTCCACTTCATGGATTTACTTTCAAATGCCTCCAAGGTCTCCCTCCTTTATAGATAAACTTCTCTTCTTTCTCCATATAGTCTTCCTTGGACCTGTTCCTCTATGGGAGGGATGTGGAAGCTGTGGCCCTCTGGATGTTGGATTCCAGCTTCCACCTGCCCCACCCAGCATGACCAATGGTCAGGGATGATGGGAGTTGTAGTCCAACGACAGCTAAAGGGACATCCCTGTTCTATGGCTATCAAGTTTCTTTTTGGTTGAACTACTGTATTCCATGCCTAGCTCCCTTTCCCCTTAAGCTTCATTCAATTGGAATGCTCTTCCACCTGACACCCGACTCTCCTTCTCGGTTACTGCACTGTCAAGTATTTCAAGACACAACTATTTTCCCTGGCTTTTCTCTGTTAGCAAAGTCACTTAAATAACACAGATGGAGTCCAGAGAGAAAAGAAATACTGATTACACTTTACTGAGGAAACTGAATAAAAACAGAGAAAGGAACAGAGAGGTTTCCTCGCTTTTTTACCTCCTGCCCTGTACATAGCAGGTAGATATTCAATTAAACATACAGAGCAAAACTCCCTCAGAACTACACAGACAATAAGAGCACCTGCAACCTCAGTAAACATGCTACTCAGCTGGGTTGCTGAAGAACATCTCCCCCTTCCCCCACTTGGCTAGTTGATGTCAGCACTAACAGAATTACCCCTTTAATTCCACATAGAATAATCTCTGCTGTTGTTCTTCAGAAACTTTCAACTAATGCTGCCTTCCTTTCACTGCATTGTTCCTCCCTTCCTAATGTGTCTTGTCTTTACATGAAAGGGAGGCCTACTTTATTCTTAACTTTTGTACTTCTAGGTCTTTGAATATAAATATCATTTATATTTATGTGTCTCTTTGTTGTCTGTTTTGACTGATTTGTACTTTGACAATAATAAAAGCAATATTAAAAAATATTAAAAATAAAATTTCTAATATATGGAAAAACAGCACAAAGGCACATTGGCTAAGCATTATATTAAGCTGCAAAGATAACATATGAAATGCAGTTTCATTGTAATGGCAATTAAAATCTGCTGAAGAAATGGTTTTGCATAATTTCCAAACGACAAAAGAGGCGGCTGCCTGAAACAGTGGCACATTCTTCCTGAGCATGTAGTACGTGTTACAGCATGACTATGTGATTCTATTGCTCACTCTTTATTCTGCAAATAATTGGTAATTATACATTGTCTGGAGCTATAAGCACTGTTAATTCATCATTGTCAAAGAGGGATTTGAAAGATTGAGCTATTTGTAAAATGTAGTTGGCAGCATTATAAACTAATGTCTCAGGAATCGTCAGGGTGTTTTATTTATTTATTTTAAAGTCCTCATTTCCTTAGGAAATGACAGTATGCAAAGCTGTAACTTTTCTGTTCCCACTGCAGAATTGCCTTTTATTGGTGTTTCGGTAAAGTTGCAATCGCCTACATGAGTTTCAGTTAATGTGGTCTGAGGTTGTGGACAAAATTCTTGTAGTTTCCAGTTCTGTGAGACTTGTTCAACCTGGCTAGTTTTACCATGCCAGGAGAGTTCAGGAAGAACTTATTGAATCCTTTCAAAAGGAGAGATTTACTATTTAGGGATACTTGATAGATCACAGGTTCTTGTCAAATACTGGTCAAACAGGACTTTTCTTCCCCTGTTGTTGGGGTTTTATGGAGGGTTAGGGGAGGTGCCAGAACTCACCATGAACCCCTCCCTTGTTCTCTTGGAATGGCAATGGCACCCACCTGAGAGATGCTGGAACTGAGTTCCGGTGAGTTCTGGCTGAAAAAAGCCCTGATTTCAATGTTTACACCTGTGTACTTCTGAAGGATAACTGTTTGCAAAATGTTGTAGGATCAATTGTCCTTTGTTTTATTTGTTTTCATTATTAGTCAATAATTCTTACTATTTCAATTATTATTATTCATTGTTATTAGGTCTATTATTACTTATGATAAAGTTCCTTTGTCCTAGTTAGCCTCTTGGCTCACATAAATAATGTGAATAACATTGATAACATTGGAATGGCTGTTATATACTGAATTTCTTCACAACACTGTAAAGTCCCAAAACCTAGGGCTAGCTGTATATTGGTGTGTGTGTGTGTGTGAAAAACTAGAATTTACTTTATGTGTGTATTCTTATTTTTAATGTTAATAACAAAAATACAGTTTAAGTACATTCTTATGTGTGAACTGCATGTACGTGTATTTGCATGTAGGCAATATTTACATAAATTTTGCACCCTGAATAACATTCTTTTGTTATTAAACAAAGTTATACCGGTTAAATTGTGGTCTTGGCTAAACACCATGGCCAAATTTTCATATCCCACTTGCCAGAATTGATTTATGACTTGCTAGCTAGTTTTCTGATGATTTTGGAGGGGGATGGTTCGCTCAATTACACATTCACCCCTCCACTGTTTGCCATTCATAGCTGCATGTGGAAAATTGATCCAGATGCGAAGGAAAGTGATCCATCATGTAGCTAAAGGATTGCCAATGAGGAGTAGCACAGAGGATCCCTCATTTACCACAAATAGCTATGCATGTTTTGCAAAATGGAGGTAATGTTGTCCTAATACCAGGGAATAATGGTGTCCCCCAGTAGCATTTTTAGCAGTGGTTACTCAGAGTAACAAAGTACCAATGCTTTTAGCCACAGCATGAGGCAGCATACTTCAGTTGTCCTGGCAGCTTCTTCCTTTGTCGGTTATTAAAGTGATCCTTTATGAATGAAAACAGTGATAATAAAAAGGAGAAAATGTGCATCATGCTGTGAACAATTTCCTGCCGCTCTGACTGATCTACTTCAATGGCCCTTGCAGTTGTGGCTATTTGCTTTGAAAGGCAAGTTATGAATGCAGAACTTATGAGCTCACCATGGTGACCTTTTCATGTTCTCTCTGTTAATGCCCAGAAGCTGAGTGTTTTATTTTGTATCTGAAAAAAACTGTAACCTTTGGGTAATAATGTAAGGGAAAATCAGAGTACAGAGAGAAAATTAGCTGCTTGCTAACTATATAGAATGCCTGTCTTCCACCTTTTCATCTGAGAAGCATTCAAATCATACTTTTGTGTCAACACATAAAATGGTATTTGGGAAGAAAGCAGTGGGAGTGAACTTCAACCCAGTAAACAGCTTGTTTTAAGCAAAGTTCTTGTTTCTAAGCCTGTCAAGTCCCCCTTATGAAACATATATACTATTTCGCGACTTTAGCTCACAAGGCAGTGTGCATAAAACATTTAATGCAACTCACAAAAACAATTTAAAAACAAGTTTTGGTGTTCTTTTGGTTGCCAACAAACCTGGATCTAAGATAAATTGCTTCACACTTCACCCCTCTAACGAATATAGCAACTATTATCAATTATTATTAATCACTTCATATCTATACCACTTTATATTTTTAAGAAAAAGTCTCAAAGTGGTTTGCAGCACATTAAATAGAACATTACTGGAGAAAGTCAGATATAAAGTATACTGTCAAGGCAAAACAATAAACAGGAAATTAAAATATTATCTTAAAGATTACAAAATAAAACATTACTAAAGGAAGTCAAATATAAAAATGCACTTTTAAAACAGCAACATTAAAAAGAGAATGAAATAGTATAATATGTGCAGAACATATCTGCTGCTTTTGCTGCCAGTCCTGCCAATTGTAGTTCATAGCTCAGGCTCTATGACCTAGGTCTGCATTAAGAGTCAGCCAAGATAGTCGCTGGCCTCTTCAACAGCCACAGTTTTTGTAGCTGGGGCCACTTCCAGACCAGGTTTTATTATTAGTAGTACAGTATTAGTATTAGACTTTATATACTGCCCTATATCCGGAGGTCTCAGGGTGGTTCACAGAACAAAATCAATATATAAAACCACAAAATTTATAATCAAAATAAAAACATCAACCCAATACCCCCCCTCCCAAAAAAAACCCCACCACATTTTAAAAGGACATAGGATATAAAAAGGTCTGCAAGGCAGGAAGCAGGTCTTCCAGAACTCACAGCCCAGGTGGTCTGCCATACCTGGGAAGATGATTCACTGAAATGAACATGCCCCTCTTTCCCTTTCTTATACTTCTGAAAACCTTCAAGCTTCCTCATGCCTGTTGATGCTACCTTCTTCTTGTGTGTGCCATTTTGGCTATGTAATGATAGGCACTCAGGCAATGAGTTTGCCATTAGTATGCATGATGATAATAATTCCCTGCATGGTCAGTGGACCTAGCACTATTGACTTAGAAGCAGTTTACCACCATCACTTGTGCAGTATGTTTACTTGGAAGTAAGAGCTAGTGTGCTCAGGACCATTTCCATGTTAAGTATCTATCGGAATATAACTCTCCATGTTTGTACTACAAAACATAGATTTGATATTGCCTCCAACCCCTTTCCTAACCTTTGCTGTTTTCTTTTTCGAAAGCTGCTTTCCAAAGACAGATGTTGCTTATAAAGCTGAACTCTTATCAGGCCATCAGCCAAATCAGAAAGAGATAATCATTGCAATTGTCTTCCTCCTTGGAGTGAGCCTCTTGATTTTTAAAAAGTGAGTTAGTGCATTCCTAAGAAAACTGTTGGGGATGATCAACACATGTATGAGAAGTGGGGGGTAAATAAAATCATTTTGATATGTGTGATCTGGTGGTGACTTTTCTAGGACACAGAAGGTGTCCCTGTTGTTCAGAGAGACTAACTTTAGCAGTTACATAGTAATAGCTTGCCTTTTGTTAGACTGGTATTAAATGTAAGGATGGAAAAACCTGCTCTTTTATATGAATTGGTTGATGAGTCAGTAAAACCCCCAATGTCTGCTATTTTCTAAATTCATTTGCCCCAATTCATATTGCCTCTATATATATTGACTCAAAAGTAAGTTTCCCACTGAATGGAATGGGTTTATATACAAGTAAGTGTATATGCAGCCTTGAAAAAGCCTTCCTATCTAATTATTCTGGATGTATCCAGACCCACTAGGAAGAAGGTGCTTACATTTCGGCACCTTTCAGGTCTATCTCTTTAGCTGACTTGGATTGTCTAAAGTGATTAAATGCTTATTAGCTCTACAACATCCCATTGATTCCTCCCCAACCCCCTTCCACACACATGGCCCAGAGGAAAGATCAACAGATTGTGTCTAACAAGCTGACATTCAGGCTACATTAAGCACCAGTGGTCGCTTGCATAACAGGGCTTGTCAATGATTTATAAACTGGGCAGACAGAGTACCAAGCAATTTCTTGCTCAAAACAATCAGTTACTCATTACTTCATTGTTTCAGCAAGTTTATTGTTTCACCTATAATGCTGGCCTTAAGGATGTCACTGCCCCACTTTGGCATATGCAGAGGGATACGGTTGCCTACCCCTGTCTAAATCACTCCTTCCAATAGCAAACTTGGGTGGTGAGTGTTGCTGACAGAAATGAACCCATAATGGGGCCACTAAGAAATAAAAGGAAAGTATCAGTAAGGTAGGTAAAGGTAAAGGACTCCTGGACAGTTAAGTCCAGTCAAAGGCGACTACAGTGGTACCTCGGGTTACAGACGCTTCAGGTTACAGACTCTGCTAACCCAGAAATAGTACCTCAGGTTAAGAACTTTGCTTCAGGATGAGAACAGAAATCACATGGCTGTGGCGTAGTGGCAGCAGGAGGCCCCATTAGCTAAAGTGGTGCTTCAGGTTAAGAACAGTTTCAGGTTAAGAATGGACCTCCAGAACGAATTAAGTTCTAAACCCGAGGTACCACTGTATGGGGTTGTGGCGCTCATCTCGCTTTCAGGCCGAGGGAGCCAGCGTTTGTCCACAGACAGCTTTCTGGATCATGTGGCCAGCATGACTAAACCCCTTATAGCACAATGGAACACTGTGACAGAAACCAGAGTGCACGGAAACACCCTTTACATTTCCCACCACAGTGGTACCTATTTATTTACTTGTACTGGCGTACTTTCGAACTGCTAGGTTGGCAGGAGCTGAGACAGAGCATCAGGGGCTCACCCTGTCACTTGGATTCAAACTGCCAACCTTCCAATCAGCAAGCCCAAGAGGCTCAGTAGTTCAGACCACAGTGCCACCAGTGTACCTAAAGTATCAGTATGCCTAGATGGACTCCAGATTTTGCAGAAGTACAACAACAACAATCACCCTAAGTGGCAATCCTTCCCACTCATACAGTCCAATAAACACGCTTGGTAGCCATGGAATATTGAGTGTCCTATGGAAAACCAGTGATCCAGTTTTATTCCCTATAACAATGAAGTTACAGGGAAGCAGGCACAATTTTTAGAAGACACCTGAAGGCAGCCATTCAGTTTATAATCGTTGATGTTTTCTTGTGTTTTTAATTTTGTTGGGAGCTGCCCAGAGTGGCTGGGGCCAACCCAGTCATATGGGCGGCATATAAATAATAAAATACTAATACTAATTAAAATCACCTCAGTGGTCCTAATAAGACTTGGTTTCCAGACCCTTTATCACCTTGGTCACCCTTCTCCACACATGTTCCAGCTTGTCAATATCCTTCTTCTACAATATGTAAGTTCTTAGAAAGAAAGTACCTCTGCAATTTCAGGAAGCACCTGGAGTCTTTGCTAGCTTCAAGGTGTTTACATGTGAATTCATTGCTTATAGCATATTGTTGGAAAATTGCCTACTTAGTAAACAACCAGACATTTAAGTAGTCTATCCTAAATATTTCTAAGGCCAGATAATGAGTGCCAGATCCCTGTTTTCCGGATAACGGCACAGATAATGCATCACATGAAATTACGGCACTCGTGTCTGTGAGTCTCTCCCCCCTCCCAAAAAACCCCCAAAATTATTTACTCATAAAGAGTTTGAATGTGCATGTCCTGTTCTGCGTCAGTATGCAGCATAAACATTCCTCGTTTCTGAACAAAGACAGAATGGGGGAGGGGGAAGAAACTTGTGGCTGTAAGACGTGCCTTATCGAAAGCCGTCTAGGCTTTTGCATTCCGTTTCCTTCCGATAAGACTCTTGTGCTGAGCTGGCCTTCGGAAACGAGCCCAAAGGGCTGCCTGCTAAGTTTACACAAGGAAGGAAGCAATCAATTTGGGACTGTTACTGAATGAGCCCTTATCATAGTCACTTCCTCACCATTGCTTCACAAGCTAAATATGTTCAGGAACCATTTCAAAAGTGTCACTGCACTGCTCCCTGGGTTTTGTGAAAGAGAACTGCTTCGAGGATACAAGCATTTGCCTAGATTGCAGGCTGAATAGAAACCCCGGACTGTCACTGCAAATGTCTCAAGCAGCACATCTTTGGGAAATAGTGTTGTGGGTAGATTCCATCTTATGTTCTCTCAGCATTCTGCTCCCTTAACATGGATGCAAGCGGTTCTACGGTTTGCTTGTTTCTCCCTTTCCATCCACTTTGGAAGACAATACTTTGAAGAGATGCCATTAACCAAGGCTTTGAATTTCTTTTTCTTTTACTTTCTCATCTTTCCAGTCTGAAGTTCAGTTCTCCACACTTACATAAGAGTTTGTGATTTTTAAAAAAGTCCTCTTCAGCATTTTAGTGCAAATTGCTCCCAATATACACATTTTTGCAAAGCATTTCCCCTAATATAATGCATATTTGTGTATCATTTTCATGAATATTTTCATTTTAAGCCACACCTCATTCTAGTACATGATTATTATTTTTTTGCACACGTATCAGTTGGCAGGAGAACTGTGTTGCAAAATTCAGAGAAGTATGAATTATGAAAGATGGCTGTGGGCCACGTATTGTTTTAGAAAGTGCAAATTAGGTCAGTTTTCCTTTAAATGCAAACTGATGCAAATTTCTCCCCCAGTTGGAAGTAAAGGGCACTGAAAACTTGCTTCTGAGTAAAAAAATGGAATACAACAAAGAATTGAAAAGGTAAACCATCAAACATCATCGTCTGGAAGTACAGTGCAGCTCCAACGAATAATAAATATTGACTCATACAAGGATTCCCTTTACAAATAACACACACACACACACACACACACATATATATATGTATGTATTCTCCACCTGGTGAATTATATTATTGAAAATAATAGTTATATAAAGTTATATAAAGTCTTAGTGGGTTTTTTTTAATTAATTGGTTTCAATGAACAGTTTACCCTCTCCAGATTTGCTTGGGGGTTGAACACAGTGAAATTTCCAGGTGAATCATTATGCACAAGAATTACTATATTCTACAGCTGTAAGAAATGAGAACCTCTTGCCGTGTGGATTCTCCAGAGAGTGTCCACTTCAGCGCCAGCAAATACTGGAGCATGTGTTGCTGGCATTGGAGATTGTTCATGTGATTGTGGCAATCCACAAGGTAAAAAGGTGTGCATATTATAACCACTGCATGGAGCAACCACCTTTAGGGAAGAGTTTCTGGTGGTATCTATGTGATAGGCATAATCCAAAAATGGGTTCTGCATTAGGTCTGGGATGATATAGAAACACTGCACTTCTTCACTTCTCAGATCAGTTCACATGAATGGGCTTCTCAGCATGTGATAGACCACAGTGATTCTGATGGGGTGACATGTAGGTGACCCGTAATAATATTATATTTTATGTTGCTTTTAGTTGGCAATGCTGCTGCTTTTAAAACAATGAAAAAACTACTGCATAATGAAGATAGTATAACATGTACACTTCCATTTAGTCTTTAGTAAAAACATCCCAAGAGTCCTGGAAGTAGAATCCTAACAAATTCAGCTCCCAGTATATTAAGAATTTAAGTAGTGGCCACTCCAAGTTTTACATGTCACCACAGCCAAGCCTGATAAAATAATGGAGATTGCAATGGTTATCATTAGAGATGTGATGGCATATTTCTTTAAAAAGTGTGCACAAAAATAAGGAACCCACTGTATAGAAACATACACAAATAGAAAAAACAGGGGTTCAGGCCAGCATACAAAGACACAATATATGGCAAGCAAAGTACAACAAATATACATTGCAGGTACATTGTGGTGAATCCATTTGTTGTACCTACTTTGTATGCTGGCCTGAACCCCTTTTTTCCTGTTTGTGCATCATTAAAAAGTGTGTCAGGCACCAAATATATTATAAGCTTTCTCACATCATTCCAGTGGATAAACGGCTTTGAAGAAACCAACTAGTAAATTCTGTGAATTGTGCAAAAAACTATGAGGATTAAAAAACCTTTGGAGTAAACAAATCCCAGTGCAGAATAAAATAGTCACAATGAAATCCTAAACAAGTTCAACTTATCCCCTCTGCAAACTCCCAACTTTCAAATGAACAGAGAAAACGTTTTGACTGAAAATGAACCAACTCTAATTCAGGAGGTAGTTAAAGCAATTAAAACAATCTCACTGTGTAAGAGTTGCCAGTTTTCTGAGATAAAAGAGCCAATAATTACACACTTGCATATGTTAATTGTTAGCAAAGCATCCAAATTTAAAATGGGTCATTGCTTGACAGTTTTTTTATAAAAAAAATAAGCACGCATATTTTAAAATGGGCTCAGTGGCAAGCCCAAACGTACACTATATAGCTTTGTGGACGGGTTGTGTGTTTATGTGCAGCGAGCATAATAGAAGATGGGACTAGCTGGTGCACACATTCTGATAATAGAGGGCGGCCAATGGCAAGGAGGTAGGAAGCTA